GTGTGTGTGTGTGTGTGTGTGTGTGTGTGTGTAAAAGAGGGTTTTTAAGCTGCTCTCTTGTTTCTGCAGGTAAAAGGCTTCAACATCCTTTAAATCAGCTGCTGCGACTTTGATGTGACACAAAGTGAGCCTGAACCACAGACTGGATCGATCCAAAGGCTCCGACTCGGTTCCCCTCAGAAACAAAAAGTGCAGCAGGTAAGATAATGACTACAGATCTCAGACCAGCTGGTAAAGTTTCAAAACTGCAGCCAAAACACAAAAACTGCTTCATTCACCTGGAATTCTGAGTTTAACTAAAGTTACATCAGGTTTGACTGAGGAGACAGAAAGATATTTACCCTCAGGACACAAACAGATGACCCAAAACTCAAAGATCTAATCACAAACGGATCTGGTCTGTTATTAAACTCAACAAACCTCAGAACCTCGTCTGCTCAGCCTGAAACTAATAAAGAAGGAACCTGAGGAACAGAAAAACCTTCAGGAGACTCCTGCTAATTAAAACCAGGAGAATCAGCAGCTGAAAGGTCAGCACCGTTACCATGACAACCCACCTCCATCCACTCTCCATGGGACTGCATCTTCAGGACGATGCAGGGGTCCGGTTTGGACAGAGCGTCTCGGTCCGAGATCCCTTTACAGGTGACTCTCAGCTCCACTTTGGTGAGACACGGGCTGCTGAAGAGACCCAGGGAGTGAGCCGCCGACTCGTAGATGTCACTCATGGTGGGGGCGGGACAGGAAGTCTGCAGAGAGAACCAAATAAGGATAAGAGGCGGGACAGGAAGACTGCAGAGAGAACCAAATAAAGATAAGAGGCGGGACAGGAAGTCTGCAGAGAGAACCAAATAAAAACAAGAGGCGGGACAGGAAGTCTGCAGAGAGAACCAAATAAAGAGGCGGGACAGGAAGTCTGCAGAGAGAACCAAATATGGATAAGAGGCAAGACAGGAATTCTGCAGAGAGAGAACCAAATAAGGATAAGAGGCAGGACAGGAAGTCTGCAGAGAGAACCAAATAAAGAGGCGGGACAAGAAGTCTGCAGAGAGAACCAAATAAAGATAAGAGGCGGGACAGGAAGTCTGCAGAGAGAGAACCAAATAAGGATAAGTGGAGGGACAGGAAGTCTGCAGAGAGAGAACCAAATAAGGATAAGTGGAGGGACAGGAAGTCTGCAGAGAGAACCAAATAAAGATAAGAGGCGGGACAGGAAGTCTGCAGAGAGAACCAAATACTGTATGGATAAGAGGCGGGACAGGAAGTCTGCAGAGAGAGAACCAAATAAGGATAAGAGGCGGGACAGGAAGTCTGCAGAGAGAGAACCAAATAAGGATAAGAGGTGGGACAGGAAGTCTGCAGAGAGAACTAAATATGGTTAATCAGCTGAAGTTAATTAGGCACTGCTTGTTTCTCTTAATGAACCCACAGTTGACAGGTTTGTGTTCTCGTTCCTGCTGTCAGGATTTAATAAGAACTGTCTTCAGCTTCAGGTGCTTCTGCTTCTTAACAGGCAGGAAAACTTAAAGAACTTCATCGGAGCGAGCCACCTCACGTTCACCAACTCATTTCCATTTACTAATTACCTGAAAGGTTTCCTGTCAGTGAGAACGGATCAGCAGAACAGGTCGGCTCAGCCTGCTGTAATTAAATGAAGTAACAGATTAAAACTGGAGCCCTGCTGGCAGTTAATTCACATCATGTGTTTAAGTGTTTCTGATGAAACCTCTCAGATTCATGTGCAGGAGAGGAACTATCCACATGTTGGTTTGATGAAGTCATCTGTGGAGTCGGGCTGTCTGTCATAAATGACTCATTAACTCTGTGGATAACATGTTCTATCTAAGGCAGAGGTTGTCAAACTGGGGTTCCAGGACTCCCAGTGGTCCGCAAGAGCCATCTTGGAGGTCCTCGAAATATTTCACTAAATTGTTAATTTGGTTTTTATTTTTTAAAAAACATGGGGGAACAATGAACTAATAAAACAAACATAATAAACTAAATAAAACATACATTCCCATGACATTTAGGGTTGAAATGACAGTAAATGATCTTTTAAAACAGCATGGGGTTTATGAGGGGGGTCGCTGGAATTATTTTGCCCTTTTAAAGCGTCCCCAGAGCCAATATGTTTGAGTTTCACTGATCTAAGGAACACACTCAGAGTTTTTTATTTTTATTTTTTTTTCCCCGTGGGGACCGCGGATTGAGTTCCATTCATTTTGTTGTGATTTTATATCCTAACCCTGACCATTTACCCTACAATTAACCTCACAGGTACCATACCTGACCCTAAAACCAACCTAAGCAGGTTAGCATCAGCAGTTTAACACTAGCACGTTAGCATCAGCGGTTTAACATTAGCAGGTTAGCATCAGCAGTTTAACATTAGCAGGTTAGCATCAGCAGTTTAACATTAGCAGGTTAGCATCAGCAGTTTAACATTAGCAG